TTTTCCACTAATTGTAAGGAGTTTTAGAGCATCTAGAAGGTTGTCTATAACTACTTTACTACTAATACACTTCAACAGTTATAAAAACCAAAGTAACTTGAATAACTAGTGTCCAAAACAATAGACGGAAAATTATTTTCTAGTTAGTTTAGTCAACAGTAATCTTATTTTTGAAATTATTTTTTAACACAAGTTCTGTTGGACAACATCGAAAAATCTTCATTAGGAAGAAGAAAATAGTAGTGATCAGGAGAAGAGGCATTCAGAACTATCTCATCAGAGAGTAAAGTGGTTTCTACGGATATGAAGAAATGGTACCAGATACTGAGCTGAATTGATTGTGTGCACAGTTGTAAAGAGCTAACGACAAAGTATGTCTTTATCTTAGTCTGAGCAACATTAAAGGATGTTTCTTCCTCAACTGAAAATTACGTACGCAACACAGAAGATTTTCTATGCACAAAGATGATAAGGTCGTTTGCAAACTTTTGATGTTCCCCTCAAGTGAATATCGACAAACCTAGATTTTAAAATAATTCACTTTTATGACGAAATTATCCACTTGTTGTTTTTGAGCATACCAATGATAATTTATTTGAAGCCAACCTTGAACCAAATAAATACCCTCTAAAAAATTACAGATTATAATAACAGAAATCAATCAAAAACATGAAAGTTAGTTTGACCAACAGAAAAAATCGTTAGCATATGTAATAAAAATGCTCCATTTGTATAAAGTTACTTTCACAGATATTGTATACTCCAATTCCTAGTGTTTCTTTTTCTCCTTCCCTTCAGTTTTAGTGTGATCCATGTTTATATTCATTGTTGACAGCACCACACTCATCATCATTTGATTCTTGTGGTTTACTTTTCTCTATATTTTCTTCAGATGGCGTGCTTCCACGTCTGCCTAAAGGATTGTGTTTTTCGTCTGAATGCAATGTCGATCTACGCTGAGCATCTATACTTTCAAGCACTGGAGGCATAGACAGAAAGTCATTGATTGAAATTTCACTAGGTCTCCTAACATTTCCACGACCCAATGAACGAGATGATGTTAATTTATTCAAGCTGGTTTTCTCTCTATTCCCAATCACAAATGGTGAATCACTTGATTGAGCTCGTTGCAGTAAAGTTGGCAAGGATTCATTTGATTTTCTTTGAGTAGTTTGACGTAACGGCTCTATGTTATCCATGTATTCGTCTTCTTCTCCATCATCCACTGAATGTTGTTCCCGTTCTTGTTCGAGATCGTGAAATACAACTTTAATCTTCATTAGTTTACTTTCAGCACTGTCCATCTACCTGTTTACTATATCAAACTGTTTTCAGGAAAATGAAGTAGTTGTAGAATTTTGAAATAATAATATTCTCTTTTTGTTTTTTTTTTAAATTCACCTGTAATTCACGATTCATAACCGGTCTTTCTATTGGTTAATTGATTAACTTCCCCATTGTGTAGTTCACAACCAATAAATTTCTTACATTGAAATATATGTAATCCAATATTGACATAAATAAATTGATTCATTCATTGGTCTCGTGCTAAAGTGCAGTTAAGTTCCTTTCATAACATAGGTATATTTTTTCTACTGTGACCAAAGTAAATTTGTCACACGCATAATTTATATTAAACTGAGAAAGAAAATCAATAATAAGGAAGAATTTTTAACTTCTCTGTCACTCAAATGAATCCAATTAATTATAGATTTTTATGAAAATCAGATTATAGTCTAAATATACCCTATAAGACAGACACGTTAATAACATTAAAAGAAAAAACTTCTTTTATTGAGTAGTAAATAATATGTTATTTAAAGAATGACTGCCTCGTTTGATATATGTGTAGTGATTTGCATTCAGACACTTAGATTACTTTGACTAATAGTTGAATAGCACGTTTGATAATTTATTACGATATTGAAATAAATAGCTTATATGTATGTAGAACAGTACGTACAGTCGTAATGAGTATCCACATAAATAGTTCTAATTTTCTTTCTTATTATTGTGGACTATTTCTTTCAATGGTGATTTGCTATGGTATTCGAAATTACCATGATGTGCATGTCGGTTTTTATGGAGCGAACAAATTTAATTATTTTTGATTTAATATATAAAGATTTAAAAATAAAGCTATTCATTGTAATCTTTCTTACAAATTTTGAATCCCAGACAGTTACCATCTGATTACTCTGTCTTCTAGTGATCTAAAACTTATGTACCTCTTCAAATTTTGCAAAACTATCACACAAGCCATTTTGTCAGTCTCTGAACTCCGTATAATGACTCCCTTATTCTATGGGTTTTCTAATTCAATCTTCAAATGACTTCACATTCACCTTTCTACTTATATATATATATATATATATATATATATATCTTTCACTCTATATTATGTCATGCCTCAATGTTACACTTCAATACGAATACGGTTGTAAGCAGCTGATGAGAAACTATGAAATAAGATAAATTCACTTGTTGTTTTGACTTTAATAAAAAAAATTTGTAAAAGAAACCAACTAAAAGAAATAAATGACATAAATTGAATTTCACACCATTCCCCCCCCCTTAACAAATATATACCAAATAAAGGACAAGGATTTTCACAAATAAAGATTATTTTATCTAGTTTCCTTGTTGTTTTATTAAATATAAGAAAATAATTCCAGCTGCCAGCTATTTACAAACATTAAACTTCATGAATCACTATTAAATAACAAAATACATTGGATAAAAAGCGTTTCTTATCAGAGTGGGGATTTCTGGAGATTGTAGTAATTTTAATGGTTGAATTCATGAGTTGATACAAGCTAGACTACCATTGAAAACCTCGAAGCACTGGACAGCCGTCTCGTCCTAGTATAGGACAGCTCAGCAATGAGATCTATCAGTTTATTGCTCCTTCTGGGGCAGATTACATCAGCCCTACTAAGCGATGGATTTCTAAACTTATCTCTGAGCGTTACTGTCCAAAGCTTTCATAAAGAGAATCCAAAACAGTCGATAGCTAAATTCCGGATCTAAAGAGGGTTTAACTATTCAGCTGTTCAAACCTGAACTGTACGTAAAAAAGCTGTACGAGAAATCTTTCATTTTACTATTACCCTATACTCTTAATACAATACTTCATACTCAGTAATTAGTTCTTGATTCCCTTTTTCGATCTCTTAATGTTATTAATCATTTAATATTATGACCACTTTATATTCATTTTTCCTACATTCTTATTGGTTAAATAAATAGTTATTTCTCATTATTTATTTATTTATTTGAACACAAAAATATTGGTACAAGGGGCACCAAATACATATGTACCACACAAAAAAATGAGGAATTTAAAGAGAAGGGAAGAAAAACAATAACAACCAGATTAGTGTAAGATAGTGTAATGGTAGTAATAATGGGGGAACCGAAAAGGTACAATCAGTAGAAATCTTTGAGTTAAGGAAAAAGCAACCACTCTTTACGAAGAAAGTAAAAGAAGGTTACAGCAGGATTGCCACTGGCTTCTATTCTGAGCCATATTTAATAACGTCTCTAGCCACTGTGTTACATCGTCTCTCGGACCCCAACCAGCGAATCGTGAAGGACCAACAGAAGCCAGCCCTTTGCAGCTTTCTTTCATACCCCGACACCATGTCATATACTGAACAACTCTCCGTTTTCGTAAAACATGTTCAAGCCATCGAAGTCGGTGTTTCAATATGGTGACACCAATTGCATGATCGTCTCTGTGCTCGAACACACAATGCCGAACCTCTGCATTACTGACACGGTGTTGCCACTGGATGCCAGCAATCCTTCGGAGACAACGATGATCGAACACAGAGAGTCGTCTAACATCCTCAACTCGGAGAGGCCAGGTTTCACAAGCATAGAGCAAAACTGCTCTCACCGACGCGTTGTAGATCCGGCCTTTTACAGTCAGACTAACATCACGAAGGCGCCAAAGATGGCCCAGATCGGCATAAGCCGCTCTGGCTTTCACTAAACGTGTATTGATCTCATCACTCACACCACCACCAGCACTTATGCAGCTACCCAGATACACGAACTTCTTGACTACTTCTATCTGCTCACCATCCAGAATGAGTACAGGATTAGAATCCTGCCAGTCTTGTAGAAGAACTTTGCACTTCGAAGGTGCAAAGCACATACCATACCTACGGACATTGATTGTCAACTGATTAAGTGCGGATTGCATGGCTTGAACATTCTCGCACAGTAAGACAATATCATCCGCATACTCAAGGTCGAGAAGTCTTTCTCCAAGCAACAGATTCACACCACCACTACCTACATCCATTTCATCGATGGCAAAGTTGAAGAGGAATGGTGAGATTGGGCAACCCTGTCTAAGTACATTGCTTGAATGGGATAATAGAGAGAGGTGGTTGTATGCCCTCACTCTGCCTGAGGTGTTTGTATATAGGGCTTTTAGGATGTTAATAAACTTTTCAGACACACCCTTCTTCAATAGATAATCCCAGAGGATAGTCCCATCCAACGAATCGAAGGCAGCCCTGATATCAAGAAATACTACGATTGTTGGCTTTTGATAAGTATGGCGGTGTTCTAGCATTTGGCGGAGGGTGAAGATATGATCAATGCATCCTCGACCGGAACGAAAACCCGCCTGCTCTTCGCGAGTCAATCTTTCTCGGGTTTTGAACAACCTACGAAGTATGATGGAAGCCAATAACTTGGACGCAATCGGAAGTAGACTTATCCGCCTATAGTTGTTACTGGAACGACGTTAACCCTTTTTATTGATAGGGACAACTATCGACTCATTTCATGACGTTGGTACACTCTCTAGTTCCCAGACCTTTGTAAACAACGTCGTCAGTCCCTTAGTCAGAAAGTCACTATCATCTTTAAACAGAGCCGGAGGTAAGTCGTGTGGGCCCGGTGATTTGTAGCGTGTCAAGAGTTGGAGTTCCTTGCAGACTTCCGCTTCATTTGGTGGATCAGTCGTCACCGGCCATGGAGAGCAGGACAGTCTGATCGATGTTGTCGAAGTAGCAGACCAGTTGGGTTGCCCTTCGAAGAATTCTGCCCATCGTCCAAGAATTCGATGGATGTTAGTGACTGGCATCCCGTCATCCTCGCAGATTGTTTCGCTCACACCAAACTTCTTGCTGCCAGTGGCTCGGATGAGTTGGAAGAGCTTCCGGTAATTACCAGATGCAGCTGCTGCTTCCAACTCACTGGCACGCTCCGACCACCAGGCTTCTCGGTCCTTGCGCAAGCTATGTCCAATTTCATTACGTAACACCCTTCATCTGTGGTCAAACTCACGGTCACCCGGAGTAGACCGACGGGCTTCAATCAGTTGTAAGGAACCAGAAGAAACCCAATGCTTGTAAGCGGGACGTTTCGCAAACCCACAACAGACTGTACCCGCCATTTTCATGGCGTCATGCAATTGCAACCAATGCTCATCTATACTTTTCGGTGCGATGGTAGACAGCCTAGAAGCTAGCTCGGTTCGGTACTTACTAGCAACAGAAGTTGCAGCCAGCTTGCTAACATCAATCCTTTGGTGGCGGTCACTTCGTTGTCCACTGAAAAGTAAGGTGAGATTGGCGCAGACCAGAGCATGATCAGATTCCAGATAGGTACTCCAAAACGAGCGGCAGTCTTGTGCACAACCGCGCCAGCGGTAGCTGATCGCGATGTGATCAATCTGAGTCCAGGCTTGAGATGCAGAAGGGGGACGCCAGGTGGCACATCGGCGATGACTGTGCCGAAAGTTAGTGCTAGCCAGAAACAGGTTGTGGTCTGTGCATAGTTGCAGTAGACGTTCCCCGTTATCTGTCCTGCGACCAACAAGTCCCCATCGGCCACCTAAACGACTCTCTTCTGTGCCTAGACGCCCGACCTGAGCATTCAAGTCTCCAGCTAGTACTACAATATCTGTCGAACGCACTTTCTGGAAAAGAACAGTTAACTGGTGGTACAATTCATCCTTGATTGCATCCGGGCTGTAATCTGTCGGGGCATAGGCGGAGACGACGAAAAGACATCGTTTCTCACGCCGATTTTTTCTCAATTTGATGGCACTTTCTAATCTAACAGCATATAACCGACTATTAATAAGGATCCAATCGATTAGTGCTGCCTCAGCTCTAGTGCTTAGTGAGATACTAGCACCAGCAAGACCAGACGAAGATGCCACAGGGTCCCCGGATAGACGCACGTAAAACAAGCTTTTTGAAGAAACAGATGGAGAACGAATTTTTAGTACTTCACCAGAGTCTTGAATACGGGTCTCGGATAGACAACAAACGTCAATATTAAGACTTTCCAAAGACATAGCCAGCCCTATCTGTTGTTCGACCTGCATAAATGTGCGAACGTTGAAGGCAGCTAGTTTGAATGGTTCACGTGGTTTCAGAAAAACTGCTTCAGTACTCGTATTCGGTGGTAACATACAATTTTCAACCAGGCAGTGACTCGAGAACGTTTAGATAGAGCCAAATTTCCACCATAGGCGAGCTGCTGTCTAAGTCGAAAAATAAGGATAGATAGAGTAGGAATAAAAGGGAGTGAATAAGTGACGTAGTAAATAATATTAATAATAACAATAATAATAATAATAGTAATAATAATAATGCGAGTCATTTGATTGTTAATCGGGGCGAAAAGAATATTCTCCATTAGTAGACTGTTCATCAAGTTTTTGTGTGTGGGCTGAGATACTGCCCGGGTGCCCAGACCGAAGCAGATGGTTTTCTTAGGGGGCCACACCCCGAGCCTTTGACCTGAAGATCTAATCCAAAAGGCAGTGGAGCATCGTGAGAAAATGCAGTCCCATGGTAGCC